CCAACTCTCTGATGCATAACAAGTGATTGCAAAAACCATGGCCTGTATCAGGCGGACCTTAGTTTCCAGAGTTTACTATGTAGGAGATGAAAAAGTGAAGAAAAATGGTGTTACCTTCATAGTTTAAAAAGTCATTTCTAGATCTGTCTTGAAATACAATGTTTTAAGTGACAGGTTAATATCCATACACATACAAGTCCAGTGAATAACAGTATCATTCAAATATCTGCACCACAACCTAGAGCTAAAGAGGAAGAATTTTAAGAATACTATCAACCAATTCCTCCATCAGTTTTGAATGTTTGTTCATCTTTAAACTATTATCAGTGCTACCTATCCCAAAGACCTGTCACAAGACTCAATGAAGATAAAATATAGAGCTTAGACAAAGCGTAGAGTCAGAGATGAATGGAAGAAACTGGACTCACCTCCTGAGTAGGTCTTCCTTCCCACCTGAGGGCTGCTGTACCTTACTATTCTCAGAGCTTGGTGGTTTGGATTCTGCAAAGAGAAGAAAAGGACATGCCTGTCAGTAATTTCACTGAATCAGTGGCAGCACAGAGCCACTACCCACTGAAAAGGGCTCAACATGGAAAGCACTCTTGATCCAAAGAATCTAGAGAGTCTGACACACCAAGATCCCCTCCCTCACACAGTCACTCTGTCATCACTCTTGCTTACTGCATGTCACTAGCAACAAGTAGCACTTCCAAATCCATTCCTACACAGAGTACAACTTTGTGGAATCTGGGTCACCAACCATAGGTCAGGGAAGCTACAGCCATGATTCACAAGTGCAGCCTCAGGAGCGTGGTTTTGGTATGGGACCAGAAGATAGATCCTTAATCTTGCCCCCTTTACCGACTCTGGTGCACAGTCCATTACAAGTGCAGTTAACCCAAACACAGTGTCTCTTTGGCAATTCAATTCCATCTCAGCAGCTCCTTGGGACAAAGATGGGCATTCTCCTCCCATGCAATTTACAGTATCCAGAAGCATTCTCGAGGTCAGCTATAAGTCAGTTTTATGTCACTGAGAAAGAACTAATATCCCATTCTACAACTTTCCAATCCTAAATAAGTCAAGTGCCCTATTTTAAACCTAATTATATTTCATTCTAGACCACCTCTAGGCTCTTGATCTCTTTAAGCAGGTTGTTGTTTTGTTATGTACCACTGAGTCAGAACCGACCCATAGCTGACCCTCCAGCAGGTTTTCAGAGGCAGGTTATCACAAAGGAGGAGAATGCTCATCCTTCTTCCACAGAGCAGCTGGTGGGCTCGAACTGCATGTCTTCAGGTTTACAGTGCAGCTTCTTATCACTAGGTCACCAGTTCTTCCTCTTAATTAAGTATACCTTTTAAATGTCTTAAGTTGAAAGATTTCTCAAAAATACAATTCACTTTCATTAGCTAGTCCTGACAGTTTTGTTACTACCCTACCTCTAACCCAGCTCTCATCATTACACACTATCTTTCAAGAAAAGCTCACTCAACACCTCTCTGGGGCCTTCTCCAAATCTCTAACACCTCTGCTGTATGTTTATAAAGCAGCAGCAACTAGAACTGTACAAAATAATACAGAAGAACAAGGCTTTGTGAAAGAATATGTAAGGATTTGCTTTCCGCTCCCAAGACTTTTTAAGGAATGCTGAACTCATAGGCCTGAGCATTCAACTCACAGGCCTGAGCATTCAGGAGGCACTTCTGGAGCCAATCTCGTTACAATTTGTGCTTTCAAACCAACTCTATCACCAGGAATAGTAGTGCTCGGCCTGTAAGGGAAGAACATTTAATCTGCTTCTTAGTACACTGTTGGGTTCTCAACCATGAATAAAAAATATTATATTGTCAGGTTTTTATTTCTCTATTAATGGTTCCCATCTTTATTTAATTGCTTGCCGGGGTTTTACTGACATATAATTTATCCTTATTTTTACCTTTTATATAATTTCCTTTTTTGGAACTACAAGTATAGTATCTATGCATTACAACAAAACATGGCACAATTCTACACATTCCTGCAGGGAACAAAGCTACCTATCCAGACCTTTCATTTCCCTACTGCCTCCTGATAGTCTCTGTTCAATATGCATTTTTTATTAGTGAAGTTAAGAATCTTTACATGTTTGTGGCTAGTTAACACACATTTTTCTACTGAATTGTCTTTCTAAAAGATCTTTAAGCAATTTCTATACATTAGGCCTACTAATACTTACTGGGGGCACTCTGGTGGCCTAGAGGTTAAGAAATTGTGCTACAATCCCAAAGGTACATGGTTCAAATTTACCAGATGCTCCACCACAGGAGAACGGCCAATTTTCTCCTATGTGAATAACTTGTTTCTGAAAACCTGCTGGAGGGTCAGCTATGGTTCATTTCTGACTCAGTGGTAAACAACAGTACTTACACCAGTGGTACCAGAAGCAAAGAAGTCAAAATACGTATTGCACTGGGAAGCTCTGCTGCAAGGGACCAGTCAAAGTACTGAAGAGCAATGATGACAACATAAAGATTAAGGTGCAGCAGATTCAAGTCATGGTCTTTTCAATCACATGCTATGTATCTGAATGCTGAACAATTAATGAGAGAAAAAAGACTGATGTCTTTAAGTTGTAGTGTTGGGGAACAGTGTTATGTGTCTCAAGGACTGCCAGAAGAACAAAAACATACGTCCTGGAAAATATGCAGACAAAGCAGCCCTTAGTGGCAACGATGGTAAAGCTTCATCTCACTTATTCTGGGCACATTGTTAGAAGGGGCTATTCCTTGGTAAGTAGTATCATGCTTGGTGAAGAGGTGGCAAGAGAAAGGAAGACCGTCAATGAGAAAGACTGACACAGTGGCTGCAGTGAGATCAAGTATATCAAAGATGAGCGGGATGGCACTGGAGCAGCCAGGTTTCAGATCTACTGTTCATAGGGTGGCTATGGGTTACAACAGCAAACTTTATGCTGAATTTTCCCTAGCTTATCCACCCTTCCCAATTTCTAAATCATCAATACTGTTGTACTGCGATATATTCCACTTTTTTCCTTAATGAAAAATTTCATTTGATGTTCTGCTTAGAAAGTCTATCTTTTATTGCGCTTCATGTTTTACATTTAAAACTTTTAATTCTTCTGACATTTATTTAAGGTTATGGTGCGAGATAAGAACTCAATTTTAACTTCTCTTTCTATTGTCTCTGTATTATTAGGTTAAAGCAAAAACAAAATTAATTAGTCAACACCACAACAGTCCACTTATTGTTAACTACTATGTTGAACTATTATGTTATCCACACAATCAAATGTCTTTGCATAGCCAATAAATCAAACAGACATTCTTCTGGTATTCTTTATTTTCAGCCAGGATCCATTTGACATCAGCAAAGATATCCCTGGTGCTACTGCCTCTTCTAAATTCTGCCTGAACTTCTAGCAGTTCCCTATCTATATACTGGTATAGCCATTTCTGAATGATCTTCAGCAATACTTTGCTTGCATTGATATTAATTATACTGTTCAACAGTATCCACATTCAGTTGGATCACCTTTCTTCAACAGAGAAGAAATGGGAACAAATTTGGACCTCTTCCAATAGCTATCATCCAAATTTCCTGGCAAAGAATGCTGAGTGCATGCAAGGATGCATCTGTCAATTGAAACAAGTCAAATGGTGTCCCATCAATTCCTGAGGCCTTATTTTTTACCAATGCCTTCAATGTAGCTTCTACTTCCTTCTTCATCACCATTGATTCCTGTCCATATGGTATTTCCTGAAATCTCTGAGTTTCAATCAATTCTTTCCAGTACAGTGATTCTTTGTATTCCCTCCAACTTCTTTTGCAATGTTCTAGGTTATTCAATATATTGCCCATAGCAGCATCCTTCAATAGTGTGACAAGTTGTGTTAGACACTGAGAAGAATAGGTATCCCAGAGCACTTATTCATGCTTATGTGGAAACTATACCTGGACCAGGAGGCTGTTGTGCAAACAGAGCAGGGGAAAACGGCATGGTTTAAAATTGAGAAGAGAGTTTGTCAGGGTTATATTCTCTCTCCACAGCTATTCAATCTGTATGCTGAGCAAATTATCTGAGAAGCTGAACTCTATGAAGAGGAGTGACAGGAGTTGCTCAAAGTGTGGACGACTTGAAGTGCTTGTTGCAGAAGATCAAGGAATGCAGACTTCAGTATGAATTGCATCACAATATCAAGAAAACAAAGATTCTTACCACTGGACTAATAGGCAGCATCATGACAGATGGAGAGGAGACTGAAACTGTCAATTGTTTCATCTTGCTTGGATCCACAATTAACACCCTTGGTATCAGCAGTCAGGAAATAAAGAGACGCATTTCACTGGGAAAAAATCTGCAGTTGGAAACCTCTCCAAATAACTGAGAAGTAATGATGTCAGTTTGAGGACTGAAGTGTGTCTGATTCAGGTCTTGGTCTTTCCGAATACTTGTTATGCATCGGAGAGCTGGACAATGAATAAGCATGACAGAAAAAGAATTTACATCTTTGAGCTGTGGTGTCGAAGAAGAGCACAGACCAAGAGAATGAACAAATATGTTTTTGAGAGGGTGCAGCCAGAGTGTTCTTTGGAGGCAAGAATGGTGAGGCATGTTGCTAGAGGAACTATTCCTTGGAGAAGGACACGATGTTGGGAAGGGTGGAGGGTCGGCAAAGGAGAGGAAGACCTTCTACTAGGTGGACTGACTTAGTGACTGATGCAATGGGCTCTTGGGGCTCAGACAGTGTGGGGATGGCACAGAATAGAGCAGGATTCAGCTCTTTTGTTCATAGGCTAGCTATGAGTCATGCTCTACTAGATGGCACTTAATCACAACTTCAAAACCGAAAACTTACACATCACTGAAACAATAAGATATTTTTGTAATAGCTAAAACTAGATGATAACACAATACCTATTTTTGCTTTTAAAATCTGCCAAAATGGGGAAAAATTATTTTATCTTCTACAACTGAAACTCACGTGGGTGTACCTCAGGAAATTTTAGCTTTTTCTATCATTTTCTCCTTCTAACCAGTTAATCCAGCTTATTAAAGTACAATAGGTTTAGTTTAAGGAACTCCGGTGGTACATATTGTGCTCTGAATGGAAAGGTTAATAGTTCAAACCCAATAGCCACTCTGTGAGTAAAAATGAACAGTCTCCTCTTATCAGCATCTGTAGCCTTAAACTCTGATGGAAGGGCACCATGAGTCAGAATCAACTATACAGCAGGAAGCTTGGTTTTTTGAGTCTTCTTTAAATCATTCTACAATGATTTTCATCTGTAGGCTAGAAATAACTGGAGAGCAACACTCACTTTTTGGTACAGAACAACAGCATCTAGTTAGTGGACTTTAAGAATCTCCCTTGAAAAAAATAAAAAGAAAGATTTCTTCAAAAAGAATCATGGTTAATAAAAAAAAGAAAGAAGTAACAATCAGTTTGCCTTCTTTCCAAGAAATAAAGTAGAAAAATAAATCTTGGTACTTAAAAAAAAAAAAAAGAATCTCACTTGATAATTTTCACTGGGAGATTAAAAAAAATAATAATAATTAAAAGATATCAGGGTCTACAGTCCAGATAATTGTATGTTCAAATGTGTGTGGAAAAGCCCCAAGGTAGGAAATACTGGGGATTAGAATCCTGGCATCCTATGGACTTCAGTTTGAAACCAGAGTTTGAAGCCAGAAATCTCTAGCCATTATGCAAAGGTCTCCAAGGCCTGGCCCTTGAAAACTTCCATATATCTCCTCTTCCCCTATATTTTGTTGTCCAGAGACAGCAAATTGCTTCAAGGGTCCTAAACAGGCTGGGCTATACCACATCCCTGAGCCTCAGCTCACACTGTTCACAATGCCCACGATATTCAAGCTATTCACCATCCATACCCATCTTATTCTTTGAACAACTAGTTCAATCATCATCTCTAAAAAATTGTCTTCCCAAAATATCAAAACACTCTTTTCTGTGATACCCTGATCTAGGAAAGATTCTAGTGTTGCCTTATCACACATTGCCACATGTACCAGTTTACATATCAGGTCCCTTCACTACAGCTGCATATGCCGTGGGATAACTCCCCGATCCATGTCCTAGAACAAGTCATGGGACCAGATCTCTGGTTTAAAACTCAAACTCGTTGTCAAGTTGGTTCTGACTCAAAGCAACGCTCCACTAGGTTTCTAAGGCTGTAAATCGTCTTGGGCTCAGAGTTGCTGGTGGATTCAAATTGCCAGAGATGTGCCGTCTCTGGGTCAGCAGAACTTACTATAAATACGCCACCAAAGCTCCTAGATTCCTGGTTAGCATTTAGTAAACGCTCAATGATCAAGATGTTCATTTGTAAGCTCTTGCCTGCTTAGCTGTTATAATTAGGGCTTCAAACCAATTCAACTCCCTCTGAGAATTTATATTTCCTCCCCAGATAAACTGGATCAGAATCTAAAATATAACAAGATCCCCTGGCAATTGTTACGAAAGGCTTGAAATCCACTTTAGATACTATTGTTCATTACCTAAAAATTTTAACTCTCCAAATAATTCCAGCCTCTAGATGGGAGTAGTTGAAGAGGAATTAAATTAGACCCAGAGAACCCTTAGTAGGGGGTCAAATTATAATGACCAGGTTCAAGGCCCTGCTTATAGAGAAAATTTCAATATTTTAAAAAAACCCTCTGGTAACAAGCTCAGGTATAAGATAACCAGTACTGCAAGTAGAATTATCAGTAGTGGCATGGCTTCTCCACTCAATTTTATTTTTTAATCAGTTTGCAGATGGCAGGTAAGATCTAGGTTCTCATACAGAAGATTTTACTGAGCACAACAGCATTTTGTTCACAAACTTTTTAACTTGCAGTACCTCACTATTTTATGCCTTACATCTTCCTTTCTTTGTCCCTGGTTATTTAGAGGGAAGGCCCTATAAGGCAAGTACGTAATGTTGTCATTGCTGTTAGGTGCTGCTGAGTTGAGTACGACTCATAGCAACCCTATGAATATCAGATCTGAAACCTATCCTACCCTGGGCCATCCTCATCATCTCTGCAACACTAAAGCCTATTGTTACAGTCACTATGTCAATCCGTGTTGTTGAGGGTCGTCTGCTCCTTCGCTGTCCCTCCACTCTTCCAAGCATGATTTCATTCTCCAAGGACGGGCCTCTTCTAACAACATGCCAAGATGAAGTTTCACCAACCTTTCCTCTAAGGAGCATCCTGACTGCACTCTCTAAAAGATATCTTTGTTTATTCTTTTGGTAGTCCATGGGATATTTAGTGCTCTTCTCCAGCACCACAACACAAAAGCTTTGATGGGCAAGAGGCCATTGAGCCTTGAGCCTGGCCTGAATGCAAGCTCCACAGTGAGCTAGGGAAGAGATCCCAGGAGGTATAGAATGTGCGATCCACCTTTAGGAAGTCAAAAGTAGGATCTCTAAACATTTATGTGAGAGATGGAAAAGCTGTTCCTAGAGTAACTCAATTTTTGCTTATTTGGCCCTAATCATGTAAATTTCTATCATTCTATGAACTAGCAGAGCAAAGAAAGCTCTGGTGGTATACTTAGTATTGAGTTAAGCTGCTAAATCAAAGGTAGTCTCTCTGGCAATTCCATTCCACCAGCAACTCCATGGGAGAAAGATGAGTAATCTCATCTCATGCAGTTTACAGCCTCTGAAAACCACTGGAGGGTCTGCTATGAATCAGATCCGACTCAAAAGCAGTTTGAATTTTGAGTTTGACATCAGAGCAAACAATAATAGTAATGCTTTTTTTAAGGGCTCTAGCACTGAACATTCCATGGACAGCCAAGAAAACAAATAGATATGTCTTGGAGGGTGCAGCTGGAGTTCTCTTTGGAGGTTAGAATGATGAGGCTTCACCTCACATACTTTGGACACATTGCTAGGAGGTGCTATTCCTTGGAGAGGGACATAATGTTGGGAAGGGTGGAGGGTCGGTGAAGGAGAGGAAGACCCTCAGTCAGGTGGATTGAGACAGTGACTGCTGCAATGGGCTCTTGTATGTCAGGAAGTGTGAGGATGGTGCAGGACAGGACTGGGTTCAGATCTTTTGTTCACAGGGTCACTATGAGTTGTACTCGACTTGACGGCAACTAACAACAACAACAACAAAGTGCTAAAGAGAAATAATGTCAGTCTGCAGACCAAGGTGCACCTGATCTAGGCCATGGTCTTCGCAATTACATGTGATGCATCAGAGAGCTGAACAATGACTGAGGATGATAACAGTAGAATTGATGCTTTTGAGTTGTGGTACTGGAAAAAAGTATTGAACATACCATGGACTGCCAAGGGAACACACAGGTCTGTCTTGGAGAGAGTAAAACCAAGTTTATCCTTTGAGACAAGGACTGTGAAGCTCTGTCTCACATACATTGGGCATGCTGCCAGGAGGGGCCAGTAGTTAGAAGAGGACATTATGCTTGGAAAGGTAGAGAGACAGTGCAGGAGAGGAATACAGACCCCTGATGAGATGGACTGATACAACGACTGGGGTAATGAGGGTAGGTACTTTAGAAATGGTGAGTTTAGGTCAATATAGGGCAGAGTTCAGAGCTATTGTTCATAATAGCATTGCTATGAGTTGTAGGCCACTAGATGGCACATAACAACAACAACAACAGTATCCTCAGACTTTTTTTTCACACATTTGGAAAAATTGAAAGAGAAGATGTGCACCATGGATGCCTCCTCAATTCACACCTTTTCAATTTAAATGTGGAACAGATCACCTGGGAGGTTGGGCTCTATTGGAGGAATGTGGTATCAGTATTGGAGGAATATTCATCAACAACTTGTGTTATGCAAATGACACAACCTTGCTTGCCTAAACTGAGGAGGACCTGAGGTATATGCTGCAGAAAGTCAAGGCCTGCAGCCTTCAGTATGGATTGAAGCTCAATATTAATAAAACAAAAATTCTCATTACTGGGCTGACTGGCAGCATCATGGTCGATAGTGAAGAGACTGAAATGGTTAACAGCTTCAGTTTGCTTTGCTCCACAATCAACACTCTTGGTACCAGCAGCCAGAAAATCAAAAGATGAATTTTACTGAGAAAATCTGTTGTCAGGAACCTCTCAAGAGTACTGAAGAGCAATGATGTCAGTCTGGAGACTAAAGTGTGCCTGATCGAGGCCATGGTCTTCGCAATTATTTGCTATGCATTAGAAATCTGGATAATTACTAGAGATGATAGAAAAGAATTGATGCTTTTGAGCTGTGGTGCTGGAAAAGAGTACTAAATATACCATGGACTGCAAGAAGAACAAACAGGTTCCTGGAGAGGGTGAAATCAGGATGCTCCTTGGAGGCAAGGATTCTGAAGCGTCATATGACATACTTTGGGCACGTGGCCAGGAGGGACAGCTCCTCAGAGAGGGACATCATACTTGGGAGGGTAGAAGGACAGTGCAAGAGAGAAAGACCCTGGATGAGATGGATTGACTGAATAATGGATAATATGGCAGGTGTGTCAAAGACAATAGGTTGGATCAGGAGACAGCAGGGTTCAGTGCTGTTGTACATAGGGTCGCTATGAGCTTCAAGTGACTCAATGGCCCATAACAATAACAACAAAAGAAAACAATCTGGAAAATCACAAAAGCTCTGACTAATGTGTGCTACTTTCATTGCTCCGGAAAGCATGTTTTAAGCATGAAAAGTCACTCCTCTGGAAAACGGGTATCAGAAACGAGCTGTTCACATCACTAAGAAAGAAACAGTGGCTGTAATCAGAAGTTAAACATATTTTAACAAGTATGTTGTTTTCCATTCTTTTCACTCTCTCTTCTCTCACAAAAGAACTCATCTCCACAGAATCACTGCAACCCACCATACCTTTCTCAGGGGCCTTGGCTTTGCCTTGTAGAGAATCGAATACAGGAGGTGCAGGAGTCATGCGAGGTGGAGGTGCTGGCTGCTCCACTTTTGAAGGCTGATTGGGATCCTTCATCCGTTTAACTACATGATCGGATAGCTGTAGAAAAAAGTCAGCAAGAGGGGGGAAAGGGAAGATCAGGCTTCTGGAAATTAAGACCCTCATTTACTCAAGTCTTGAGTTTAATGAACACACTGCATTCTCAAGACCAACTCTAATTAATTCTACTTAAAAATCTCTCATGGTAGCCCAGGGCCTACCAGGTAAATGTCAGAATCCTCTGTCAGGAATTCCAGGATTACTACATGTCCCCTGCTGGCCTTTCAGCTTCATTTCCTCCTACTCCCCAGCACACACCCAGTTCATAACAGATCAACCACTGAGATCTCATTTTCCTCACCTGCTCTAAATTTCCACATTCAGTCCTTTCTGCCAAGCAACACAACGAAGTGCGCACTCCACACCACCAGGGCATCTCCATCTGTCCCGATCCAGTCCTTCCATTAAGGGCCTCTCAACGCACTCTGCTCCACAAGATCTGTGCGGAGCACATCCCAGTATCGTTCCTCCCCTTATTCTCTCATTTATTACATATATACCTTTTGGGGGGAACTATTATACCTCCAACATGCTTCATCTTACTGACATATTAAGACTCTGCAGGCTGAAGCTGTATCTCACGTGTCTCTATACCCTCCATTGCCAGATATATACTTGGTGTTGTCAGGTGCTATGATTCATAGCAACCTTGTGAAAAACAGAACAAATTACTACTTGATTCACATAACTCTAGTTCTCTCTAAAAAAGGCTAGTAATAGTCTTCCTATTCGTCACAACTGTTATAAAATATATGCATCAACCATTAAAACCACAGATGAAGAAAATGAGCGTTTCTACCAACTTGCATAGTTTGAAATTGATTGCACATGGAATCAAGACACTGGTAACTGGAATGCAAAAGTTGGAAACAAAAAAGTATTAGTAGTTGGAAAATACGACCTTGCTGACAAAAATGAGACCTGAGATCACATGACAGAAAACGTTGTACAATAAATTATTTACTCATTGAAACACATTTTCTAAAAAACATAAATAATAACTACATACATGGATGTCATCAAGTGAAATACACAAGAATCAAACTGACTATGTCTGTGTAAAGAGACAGCTAGAAAGCTCAGTATCATCAGAACAAACCCAAAGCCCAGCTGCAAAACAGACAATTAACTGCTTGTATGCTACTTCAAACTGCTGACCTCAGAGGAGTCTAGGCTAGTCTGCATAACTAGGATGGTGTCTTTGCTGGTCTAGATTTGACCCATAAATTCTAGTCATAAGAAGAGCCTCAGAGACAAGAACGCTGTAATATCATCTCACAAACTTTAGACATGTTGTCAGGAGGGGCCGGACCTTGGAATAAGATATCATGCTTGGAAAAGTGGAAGGGGAGAGAAAAAGAAGTCCTTCAACAAGGTGGATGGATTGACACAGTGACTGTGGCAAAGGGCTTTAATTTACCAGAGAATAAGCATAGCATGGGATAAGGCAAAGTGCAGATCTGTTGTTCATAGGGCTGCTATGAGTCACAGTCAGCCTACTAGCACAAAACAACAACGCACAATAGTTCAAACTGGAGCTGAAGAAAATTAAAACAAATCCATAAGAGCCAAAATATGATCTTGAGTTTATATTCATATTTAATATAAACTTAAATTTAAGAACCATCTCAGTAACAACTGTGATACTTTTCAACTTTTGGGTAAAACAGCAGATTAGATAGATAGCAGTTCAAATTTTCTAAAACAAAGGCACCAGAAAAGAATAACAGGGACAGATGATAATTCTGGAACTCTGAATTTAAAATGGGAAAGAAGTACTTCAAATAATGAACATAAACATTAAAAAAAACTTTTTACAACAAAATTTACAAAGCACAGTACAGAAACCTTTGACAGCTAGGTCATTTTGAACAACTGTGTGTTCCATGTGGGAACCCAGGACTGCAGACATCCACACCAGTGACTAGCTGATGACAGACGAGGTATGATCTCCCCTTTTGTCCTCCATGCTCTCCTGGAGATCAGGGGAGTGCCTTTCCCCCTCCACTACTATCCACCAAGGAGATGGCAGCAATCCCCAGCCCACTCCAATTCCATCTGAAGCCAGGAAGGTGCCATTTTGTATATGGAGCTGGGAGCATACATGGCTTTATACTTAATGTTCTTCCTGCAAGTGCTGGGGGACTGTGCAAGCCTGAAGTAGTTAGCCCTTGGATGGGTGGGGCACCATGTCTGCCTACGGTCCTTGCTTCTCACTGGGTATCATATGTCAGTCACATTGGGAGATGCACACCCTCTAAGAAGTGTGCCATCCTGGGGTATTTCAGGTCGGCAGTGACTTATGTCTTCATGCTAGTCACCTCTGACTGCCTTGTCTGCACCCAGACCTAAGCAAGGCAAAGACACCACCAGACTCAGGCAGACTAGCCAAGGTTCCTTGGAGGTGAGCAGAAATTCTGTCTCAGGCTGATGGCCCCATCCCTTGATGCCTCGATGCCACCCTGTTCACACGAATGGGCCTCAGCACCTTTCAGACAAGAAGATATTTTGACCTGATTTAGCAATGCAACCCCAACTTTCTGCTGAACTGGTAAGATATACTGTCCCAAGCCAGACATCCTGCCTTCACCCATCACAGCACCAATCAGGCGCCCAGTTCACCCCTTCCCCAAGGCCCCTTCTTATTCTCTCTCGTTTTTATTTCTCACAACTTTGTGAATTTTTGTTTGTTTTATTTTTGCTCTTGTGTTTTTTCCTCCTATCTTCTGCTTTCTCTTTTCTTTAGCTTTTGTTCCCCCTTTACCCTTGTAGTTAAAGGGGAGAACAAAAAAAACCTCAACTTCATGAAAATGTTTATGTTTTTGTTCAAGAAATCAGAGTGGAAATAAGTTGATGGTTACAAAGAATGTTAAATATAAAATTGCAAATCCACTCCTAGGCTTTAACCCAAAAGAATTAAGAAGAGAGACTCACACAGAGATTTGCATACCAATTTCCATCGCAGCACTAGCCACAATAAGTCAAAAGAGAGTGAACGATCCAAGTGTCCTTCAAGAGATGAATAAACAAAATGTGGTACACACATTTAATCAGCAACAAAAGGGATGAAGTTCTAACATGGTACAACATGGGATGAAAATGGAAAACATTACGCTGAGTGAAATAAGTCTGATTTAAAAAGGCAAATTTTTAAGTATAATAGTTAGCAAATGGGTAGGAGGGCAGAATGGGGAGTTATTGCTCAGCAGATACTTACTCTCTAATTGGAGTGATTAGGAATTTTTGGAAATAATGGTGTTGGGTGCACAACATTGTAGATTTTATGAATGCCACAGAAACTGTAAACACGGAAATGGTTCAAATGACCAATTTTATTATACATATTTTATCATAATAATAAACCCAAAATCTCTGTAAATGTTTATGAAAATTAATAAAATATAATTATAGAAAAAAACATAATGTACATGAATGAAGTACAATGATTGTATGCAAACCAATAAAATTTATTTCTTAGTAAAAAAAAAAAACTGAAGAGACAACACAGAATTGGAGAACATATTTCCAAATCATATCTCTAATAAGGACTTTAAAGAAGATATATGGCACACCCTTACAAATCAGTAATTATAATGAACACTGCATTGGAATAGATGAAAGAAAGAACTGTTTAAAAGGAACATATGATTAGGCATTATTTTATAACAACAGTCCAGAATAAGAAGTACATAGCAAAGTGAAGTTGGGGATAGGTCGGTGGAGAATGGAGGAAATTATGCTACAATGACTGAAAATTTCTTTTCTAAAAGAAAAAGTGAAATGGGTAGGAAGGAAAACGTGCAACAATGAATGAATGAAAATCCAACTTTTCTGTAAACCTTCATTAAAATTACATTTTTAAAAAAGGAAAACAATAATTAAAATAAAATAACCCACTTTTTAAAATGGCAAAAAAATATAAGCAGATATTTCTCCAAAGAAAACATGCAAATAAACAGAAGCATATAAAAAGCCATTCAACATCAGTAACTATTGGAAAACACAGTTTAGAGTCATCTAAAAACATAACAAGAGATGACATCAGATCTCTAAGATGACTATGGTAATAACATGTTTTGGTAAGGATATGGAAAAATGGGAACATTGTCTTGGAGAGGGTGAAACCAAGTTTCTCCTTGGAGGCTAGGATGTTGAAGCTCCGTTTCACATACTTTAGGCACATGGCCAGGAGAGACCGATCCTTGGAGGAAGACATGCTCGGAAGGGTGAAGGAACAGCACAAAAGAGGAAGATCCCAGATGAGGTGGATTGATACAGTAAGTGGGGCAGTGGGGGTAGGTATTTTGGGAGTCAGTGAGACGAGCTCAGGACAGGGCAGGCTTCAGAACTGCTGAATATAGGGTTGCTATGGGTCACAGGCGACTTGATGCACAGAACAACATAACAATGTAAAATGTGACAACTACGTTTGAAAACAATCAGGCAGCTCCTCTCACAATTAAAGTTACCATTGACCTAGAAATTCTAATGCTAAGAAGATAAAACTTGTACAGAAATGTTCAGAGCATATTATTATTAATAAAAGCTAAAATGTGGAAACTATAAAAATGTTTATTATGAATGAATAAATTAAATGTAATATAGTGACAGAAATATTATTTGGCCATAAAAAGGAATGAAGCATTGATCCTTAATTCAACAGAAATGAGCCTTAACAATTACACTATGGAGAGGAAGGCATACATAAAAACCCACCTATTCTACACTTCCATTTATGTGAAGTATACAAAACACGCAAATCTACAGAGACAGAAAGTAGATTAGTAGATGATAAGAAATACGGAGAATGGAGGATGAAGGGCCAAAGACATGGTGAAAGCCATGTGAAACTGCTCACTATAGATTAGCAAGTACACAAAAGGAATCTCATGCTTGCGTTCTTTACCAGGTCCTCCACTTTTTGCTGTTGTTATTATGTGCCGTCAAGTCGCTTGTGACTCATAGCAACCCTATGGACAACAGCCTTAAACCCTGCTCTA